CTTCGTAGACCTTTACGAGATTTCCGATCGTAGTTTTTACATATATTTAGAACAGGACCTCTCTGTATATCACCGGTAGGTGAGTGAGTTTCCTGTGATAAATAATGTTATTATTATTGCAGTTTCTGTAAACTACAATGGAAAATTCAGAATTCGAACGACTAGGAAATTGAGTCGTTGCAAGCAGAGGTTCCGTCTCGTCTCTCACCGAGCAGAGAGGGAAGGTAATGTCTGTTTGGCAGGGTACCCAAAGGTTGAAATAAAAAACAATATAAGTTACCAAATACTCAACTTTCTTCCGTGTTTTTTCATTTATGAAACTGTTCCCTGAAAAACGTACGAAATAGCACCGTCAGCCTTGAGAGAAGAGGTTTTCCCCACGAAATAGAACCTTATGCTCAGTGGCGGTTTTCCAGGACATGTAATCTGAAGCTCTCGCTCTGTTTACAAGGCTTATTCAAACAGGTGATATCTTAGAAGCTCGTGGAAAGCTTGTATGTTACTGGTGAGGGTACACTCGGTGCCGGTGGGGGTACTCCCAGAAAAATGTAGTGGGAGTGTGCGAAACCCTTACCCGTTACCCTATTTCAGACCAAAATCTGCGATTTTCCCTACCCTATGTCAGGCCGGAACAAAAATTCTAATCGCTATTTTAGACCTGACCCTTAAATTGACACCACGTTATCATAAGGAAAGAAAGCATACACAATTCGAGGCTAGAGAGCACGAAAATTTAGCCTTTTCTTCCCTCGTGCAACTGAAGTTTTCTTCGAATGGAGATGGGCAAGACAAATATGTAATCGTTTCTCAGGGAACGAAATCAGCTACAAAAGTTTACCTGACTTGGTTGAGTTGAATTGAGAACGTTAACCTGACTGGCTAATGTGGCGTCTTTTATTGCTGATAGTTGTAAGCCAAGATCGTCTTAAACTAACCCTGCTAACCAAAGCTTCTATAAAAACGCATGGTCTTCCGTGCACCTTACATAAAAATAAGACTCACGAACCCTGATTTTATTGCCTTTTTGGCAAAAAGTTGATATTTACCTTACTACACGGCAATTATTTGAAAAAAAAAGTCTGTTCGTGGAAACTTTTAAAAAAGTAGCCATTCTCAAGAACGATGAAGGTAATTCTTTGCATTCTTTTCCTGTGCTCATTACACCCTGAGAGGGGCTAGGTAGTCCCATCTCCCCTGGGTCATGGGAATACTGGTCAGCAGAATCCCACGGATGATGACTTACTAACTTGTCATTACCTACATGTTTGACATTGTAGCCGTATTGTGGGAAGAAATTAATCTTGATAACGCGGCCCAAGTGATTTTCATAACAAATCAAACCAGCGTGGCTTGAGTCAGGCAACCGAGAATTTAGGGAGTCTGGGACTGCCGGTAAAATTCACAAATTCTTGGAGGATCCGCTGATCTCGGATCCAGACCTCGTGCTGGCTGACCGCGTATTTAAAATTCAAAATGGCCGACACTAAACACAAGGTACGATCGAAAAAGGTAAGTTTATCTTTTATTCATGTTCCAAATGGATGTATGGGTACCCTGTGACGAGATACCGATCTAAAGCTGGTTACAGCCGTTCAAAAATCTCTACTGTGCCATTGTTGGGGTTTCCAGCGTTCTCGCAGAAGTATTCACAGCATTCAGTGACACGTCTAGTGGTGTGTTCATCCCAGCAACTTGATCGACTGGGACGGTCATGGTCAAAACCCCACCAAAAGCTGAAACGCCGGCGTCGGGCAAGGCCACAACGGACGGATTTTGAACAGCTCAACCGGGTCTTACACTTCGATTTAGGTTCGGAACATATTTGATAGGCTGTATTGAGGTCCATGCCCCCGGGGCACAGTGCAGCACCGTTTAGAGAACTCCCACTCTGCCTCCGCTTTCGATTTCCTTTTTCTGTAAAAGAACCAACGAAAGTAATGCAAATCTTCTACCAAAGAATTTTTGAATTTGTTCCCAGGGTCTCCCTTAAGGAGGAGATTCACTGAGAACGAGGTCAGTACAAATAGATGATCAGTTATTTTGCTCATTCCAGCGAGATCATGCATTGTTTGTTTGAACCAGGGTAATGGGCTCATGGTTTAAACATATCCCAGTATTCCTTTTATAGTTACCAAGGCAGCGTCCACACTATTGAAAACGCAGCTTTATTTCTACGGTTAGGCCTACCGTCCACTTTAATACTCACGAAAACGGAGCTTTTCGAAAACTCTCTTGAAACCGGAGAATTTTGAAAACGCCGGCTTTTCGTTTTCGTGTGGACGGAGAACATTTTGAAAACTTCGCTTTACGACAACGATGACGTCGCAATAACCATGTAATTTCCCTGACCAAGTTTTCCTCAAAACCAAATCCAAAATGACCGGTGATTGTCGCGTTTTTAAATTTCTCCAGCGTAGTGTGGACGGAAAACATTTGATGCGTTTTAGAGTGAAACCTCCGTTTTCGAATTCCTCTAACGTAGTGTGGAAGGGAGCATATAGACTTTGCTTTTACAAGGGTACGTTTCAATTAATCAAATACCTTTCCTACAATTGAGTCAACATTTAGAAGAATATTTTGTACAAGTTTCAACTTTCATCTTATTAAATTTTGCCAAGTGTAACAAGAATTTGAGCTGAATGAGGTAAACGCTGTAAGTTCTATCACCTCACCTTTAGTTCGGATTCCTGTTACTTCCAGAGTCTCCTGTACCTCTTTCACGTGGTATATCGGATACTGTGCACAAATATGTGCCAACTCATCACTGAGTGCAGAACGATCAGTCAGTTCACCCTCAACAATCCAAGTGGTGTCAATCCGCCTGGTCTCTGTAATAACCACCTAATAGCAATGAAGGCAAAATACAGAGCTGTTAAAGAATTTTAAAAGCGCTACTTTTCAGCTGACGTTAAAGACATCAGCCACGGTATTTTGCCTTTAATTAAAGGAAACCTGAGAATAACAGTTTACCGTGAAAAACATCAAAGAGATAACAAGAACCCATAAAGGAACATGGATGGCTAAGGATGAAGAAGATTATCAAGGATTACAAACGACGAACATGAAAAATTTAAGCTAAACTTTTCGAGATGCGCAAACCGTGACATAGCTACTTTACGACTTGGGCCAATTGTTAGCTATGGATCATTCAAACTCCTTTCATATGGTTAATTAATCCTGCATTCTGTGAGATCGTCCAATAGTTTCACCGGGTACGTTTTATACCTTATGCCACGGATAGCAAAAAGAGAAAGGAAGGAAGTTTCTAACTTAGTTTTATAGCAGAACGTTATGGAAATTTTTTGTTCTTACCTGCTTGGCCTTCTCAAGATCTTTTATCAGTTTCTCAGGCGTCGATTGTTCGTTTAGAAGAGGGAAGACATAGCAAACCTTGTCATCCGGAAATCGCAGCATGGTCAAATTCTGTGGTAACAATTTTTGACAAATTACAAGTAAAACCGAAAAAAATTGGCGATAACATTATCGCCTAACAACTGAAGTGAAATAAATAAATAACGACAAGGAAACATTCACAAGGAACAGAATACAAATATAAAAGAACGATGGTACGAGATATTACATCGATCCATTTAAGTTAGTTGCAAACTATTTTATACAGATCTAAATCCTGTAGTAAATGACAGTAGGGCATAAAGGAAAGGGTTTTTTTTTTTTTTCTACGAAAAAGGTTGAAACGTATATCCTGTATGTAGAATGAGCAAACTTTAAGTATAAACCCATGTGATTTGGAACCAGGCCAATGTGTTAACTACATAGTTAGGCACACTAGCTTCTGAAATAGAGTGGAGCCCGGTTAATACCGTCACCAATGGGCCATGAACATTTGTCTGTATTAACGGGGTGAACGAGTTAACGGGATAGGGCCAAATTTCATGACTGGTTTATTTTAAGTGACATCTTGTCGGATATACATATTTGTATGACAATTGCACTTCTAAAAATCTGAAAAAGAATCCGGAATGCAGATATGATTATCAAAAATTAAAACTTCAATCAGTACGCACAACATTAACCACGGGAAGATGGTAGTAGATTTCCTACTATTAGTTCTCTCTGTAGTGAAACTTGAAGTATAAACACGATCATGCATGACTTGAAAACGAGCCAAGACCATCTCCAATCACCACTAACTTCCTTACGACTTCCTGTTTATTGTTACAAGACTCGCGTTTCTTTCACGGGAAATTTGGGATTAAATAAGCGACGTTAAGAGAGAAAATCAAATCAGACAGCTTACTTGTTTGAAATCATGAAACGTGTCGCTGCGATCCACTCCAGGATGAGCGGGAACTTGAAACAATTCTGTTCGTTTGTTTGGGTCCACCTCGATCTTCTCGTTGTATTCTTCACCAGCCTCGCTGATGTGAACAGTGAAATCCATGACCTAGCAGAGAAGCTAGTTTAGTCAGTTACATCTTTTTGAAAGAAGGTTCTAAGTATTTTAGAGTATTTGTGTTTAAACAATACGATGTATCTGCAAAGAAAACATACCTCCTCAGATCTTTCTCTCTGTTCGTCGCTTTCATGAACATGGCTGCCAGATGTAGCGCTTAGTAGGACGAATATGACGAGGAAAAAGCACGCCATTTGCATGGGACTGCAACAACGAAGGCTGTCTATTAAAAGCAATAATTAACAGAATTTTAAGGGAATAATTCAATCAACGTGTTTTATGATTCACATAAGCAGAGAAATGAATTTGTACTGGAGTGCCTTTGGAAACTGTGAGAAACTGAAACAATAGTTACGCATTCCGCGAAGTTAACCATAAAACCTGGAGAGTAAGGGAAACTAACCGGCTACGTTTTTGAAATTAGAAGACCTATGAAAACGTAGGAATCACCAAAACAAACTACCGTGGGATGAATTACACTTACCTGCTCTAAGAAACTCTCTCGAGAGTGGTTCACGCAATGAGAACTTAACAGGACGCTTGGTTTTATAAGTGCAATTTTATGAGCGTATTAATATGAAACATTAAGATCGAATAACGTCACATTCTGCCTATTTCAACAAGTCAACAAGTCAACAACAAAATTAGGAAGTCTGATCCTGTCTTCATTGTCCTTGTTGGCCAAAAAGATACATTACACTTGTTATCTCTTGCTCTTGACCAGTTCCCGCTGACATACGGCACAGTGAAGAGCACGTTTCACTTCAGAGACTGCAGAGGGTCATTAAAAGAAATGAAGCTGATCATGAAACAAATTCTCTTCTAACAAATGCCTCGAAGTGGAGAAAGGAACTAATTGTTGTATAATATATGAACAAAATTGTTCAGTTGAAAAACACTTGAGAGAGATAACGCTATGGGTGTCAGTCGACAAGGAGATCATTGGCAACAAAATCAGAAACGAAAATGGTATGTAATAACATCTTATTTCAACAGGTCGATGAGCTACTTTTTGCAGTCCATCTTCATTGTCTGTTTTTCCTTGAAAGATACATTACATGTGACATGGTCTGTAATTAAATAATATTTTCCAAGTTTAAAAACGCTCAGCCTTTCTTAACTCTTCCGGTTAAAGTGGAGATAAAAGGTTCTGCTCACGCGCTATGTAATGGTACGTGTTATTGCGGCACGAAAGGTCATTACAAGGCGATATATCAATCAGCGCTTTAGTAATTAATCGCGGCTGAACTATAGAGCATGTATTCCGAAGTTCACACCCTGTTTCAGAAAGGTAATTGAAAACATACGGTACTTTGAGGCTCGAGAAGAAAAATGAGAGCTAATAATAACACATTTGTATGTTTGTTTTGTCGCAGCTAGAGGCACATTCGGAAAGGGGTGAAAACTAGCCACGGATCGTGGAAGAAGTGGGTAAGGGGGGAAGATTGGGGGGGAGATTGAGGGTAGGAGTGTAGAGTGTGTCTGGGTATATAGGAAGACCATTTCGTTAACTGTCAAAGACAAACTGATTCGGATTATCTTCATAACGTTATTGTAAAAGCTATGCTGCTCAAGGGAAATGTTTGACCCAGTAAGAAAATTCCATGGGGTGAAATTCGCGAGGAAAATTGAAGTTGAAACATAGTTGCGGTTTCTGTCGCACCAATTACCTGAAATTCAAGGTGGAATTACAGTTCAAACTCTCAAGGGAATCGATAAATAGTTCGAAATTGCAGACGTTCCAAATAGGTAATAGTAAATGAAAATAGGTTTAGGTTCTAAATAAAGGAAAATCTGAAATACTCAAGTTTGAATTGACGGGTTCCAACTGAACCTCGTAAGGCGGTGAATTTTCCTTTGGAACTCACTTCCAGTGTTTGTAGTTTAAACTCATAGGCCATTTCCTAGTTGCATTTCTCCTCTGTGTCAAAACCAGTCTTCGTGCAAAACGATTCACATGAAAATGTATTTCCCCTACAGGTTCTTTTTTTATGCAAATCAAACTCATTTTCACATAAAAAGTTTTGCCCAAGGGTTCGTTTTGAAACAGAGGCGCAGAGTATGTCGGTAATGGCCTATTGAATTGCTTGCTTTGTCGATTGAGTAATTTCTCTTCTATCAATCCTTGATTTATATAATTAGCGAGTAATCACGCGAATAGCAACATCCATACTGCCTATAGATCTTTGGAATGTATTTTTGTCGTTCCAGATAACTCTCCGGCTTCAGATAACCAAATATTAAAATGATTGACAATTTCAGTTCAACAAACTGCCACTAAGCCGTAGCTATGGAACGCCAGAACTGTCTCATAATACTTTTTATTATATTGGGTGGTTATGTCTTTATATTTAGTACTTATGTTATTATATTCGGTGATTAATTCATTATACTCGGTGCTTATGTCTTTATATGCGGTGCTGTCTTCATTATATTCGGTACTTATTCCATTATATTCGGTGCTTATTCCATTATATTCGGTGCTTATTCCATTATATTCGGTGCTTCCCTCGTCATATTCGGTGCCTTCTTCGTTATATTAGGTGCTTTTTTCGTTATATTCGGTGCTGTTTTTGTTATATTCGGTGCTTTCTTCGTTATATTCGGTTCTAATTTTGTTTGGAATAAGCACCGAGTATAATGAGTTAATCACCGAATATAATAACATAAGTACTAAATATAATGACATAACCACCCAATATAATGAAAAAAAAAGTATCATAAGACAGTTCTGGCGTTCCATACATAGCCGTTCTTTTAGATTCCTCCGCAAATTGCAATGTGCCGTGGTTGATTCTTTTCACAGTGCCGTCATGGTTTCCGACTTTTTAAAGACCTTTCTCTGAATTTGTGTTTCTAGAAGTCGGAGAGTGAATGTTTTTGTTTTTTCTCGCTAAGTGAAGATTTATGGCCCCAGGCTAAAACTGCGTAGGAGTACAGGAAGAATGTTTATTTATTTTCACGCAAAAAGTCTATTTAAAGGAAGTTTCTGGTCAAATTTAATCCCCTAGTGAGGTTTTTTTTTACGACACGATCAGGGATAGGGCAAAAGGGGTTATCTCTTACTCTAATGGCATCCAGTACCTTCACGTATTATGTTACCGGCCACGCGCGTTGCGTGGGGTTTTTCGTGGAGAATGAAAATGCGGCGAAATTTGAAAACGGAGGTTTCACTCTCAAAATGTCTTTCAATGTTTTCCGTCCACACTACGCCGGAGGAATTTAAAAACGTAACAATCACTGGTTATTTTGGATTTGTGTTTGAGGAAAACTCGGTCAGGAAAATCACATGAATATGGTGACGCAATCGTTTTCGAAAAGCTCTGTTTTCAAAATATTTTCCGTCCACACGAAAACGAAAAGCCGGCGTTTTCCTCCGGTTTGAAGAGCGTTTTCGAAAAGCTCGGTTTTCGTGACGGATTAGTGTGGACGGTAGACCTAACCGTAGAAACAAAGCTGCCGGTTTTCAAATGTCTCCTGCGTGTTAAGTGGACGGGGCCTAAAGCCATTTGGGATGTGATGGCTATAGACCCTGATAAGATTTCTAAAATCGGGAGAGATCTAAAATTAAAAATAATGTTGGGATTTCACTTTACTTCGAAAATCAGTCATACTTGCATACTTATATAAGGAGCCAACGTTTAATTTCTCCTCTAAGTATCGCTACAAATAACTACAAGAAAGCATGAGAAGATACAAGTTGATACGTGCGGGTCCGGAAGGGAAGAGTTGTTTTCATAACTTCCAGCTAATGTGAACTGGCAAGTTTCCCAGTCTCGCCCTGTTTCAGTTTCACTCACTGTCTCCTTTGCCTGAATGTTTGCTCGCCGTCACAAATTAATTATGCAGGTCAAAAACAGTCAAGGGTTTAAGCCAGTGTTCCCCTTGTTTTCAGAACAACAGATATATTGTAGGGTTTTTCAAACCAGTAGAACAACCAGGTGAATCGTAGCCATGTTTATTAGGTCTGCTCCGTTTTCGATCCGATGTAGTGTGGACAGAGAACGTTTGATGCGTTTTCAAAGTGAAACCTCCGTTTTTGGACGGGCCTCACAAACTCGCCTCTGCCATTAATTCAAATTGCGGAATCTAGTTATCTTTGAATCCTCCAACACCTGCCAGCCTACAGTGTTTGTCTTGGCAGAAAAGACAGGAACTACTTGAAGAAACGTGTTAATGGCTCAGAAATTTTCCGGCGGTGTTCCAAACGGGGATGAAAGAAATGTCGCCGAAGGTATACGGGAGATTTCCGACAAAACGTTTCCGTACCGGAAACATATCACACTCTGAATTCAAGCCTCAAAGGAAGTTGATCACCGAACAAATTGGAATGTTGTCCGCCGGTAGAAATCTTAGACTCAAATTAATTCTCTCACTAGCTTTTAAACGCATCGCATATGTGTTCATTTGCCTACAGGATACTTCAGATAACCAAACATTAAAATGATTGGCAATTTCAGTTCAGTTAAACTTCCTAAGCCTCACTCGATCTTTTGGATTTCGCCGCAAAATTTCAATGTGCATTGCCATCGTTTTCGACTTCATAAAGACCTCTCTGCATAATCTGTATTTGTTCGATAGAAAAACGTCTAAATGTTGAAACATCCGGTGGGTTTTGACTGATTTTTCTCGCTAAGTGAAGTTTCATTGCCCCAGACGCTCCTATCATACTGCGTAGGAGTATAGGAGGACTTTTTTTATTTGTTTTCACGTCCAAAATTCAATAAAAAGGAAGCTTCTGCTCAAATTTAATCTCCTAGTGAGTTTTTTTTTTATGACGCGATCAGAGATAAGGCAAGTAGGGTCATCCCTTACTCTTGTGCCACCCAGTTCCATCGCGGATAATGTTACACCACGCGCGTTGCGTAGGGGTTTTTCGTGCAGAATGAAAATGCATCTAAAGCCCCGCACTACGCGGAATAAATTTGAAAACGGAGGTTTTACTCTGAAAACGCATCAGATGTTTTCCGTCCACGCTACGCCGGAGGAATTTAAAAACGCAACAATCACCGGTTATTTTGGGCGGGGGAATCACATGGTTAGGGGAATCAAATGATCCCAATTAATTTAAAAGTGTTCGTAAAATTTGGCCTTTGCTCGAATTACTCGCAGAAATTAGATGAGTGCTCGCTTGCTCGTGCTCGCAAAATTTTTTGCAACTGCTCGTATACTCAGATTCTCGTTAAAATACGCTCGATTTCCGTATGGCAAAACTGGGAAACATGCTTTCTCGTTTTGCTGACGTTTTATTGAACCTGACGCACTTAAGAGTTTTTCGCGAAAGGCACCCGCAAAAGTAGAAAGTCATCTAGAGACATGAAGACATGAGGAATATTACTAATACTATTTTACCTTCAGAGCTTGTCAGATCTGTATGGTTTCAATTGGTTAAATCCTATAAGCCTCCAAATGAAGCTTCATTGCGTTGAATCATTTTCAGTCAATCAGCGGGAAACCAGTTTGCCAATCAAAGAAATCGAAAACTCGGAATGCTTGTTAAACTCAGAATGCCACGTTGTGTACATTTCCTAAGAATAAGACCAAAAAAAAATTCTTCCATGTCACAACACTTCAAAGTCTGGTAGTTTTTAACTTCTTCTTGTGGGTTGTTCACAGAGTCGGGTTAGAAAACTTTAGATCACCTTGAATGTCCACCCACTGAAGCTCGCTGAATCACGTGAAGCTACGTGACGTAATTTGCCATCAAACAAGGCATAATTGGATGTAAGCTGCTGGGATTGTTGGAACGGGATTACGCCCATTGTCCTGTTTTGGAGGTGTCAGCCAGATTACTTGGCGCAAGGCAACGCCATCTGTAATTTTTAAGGTGCTCGCTGCTCGCAACACAAATTTGGTCACTGCTCGTCAGTCGCAAAAATAAACGCACGGCTCGCTTGCTCCCAACCTGGGGGGTACTCCCTCAGATGGGCTATATAGGTATGTACAGCGCCAAAGGGTACAGTTTTTCGGCTCGGAGTTGGTCATAAATAGGGTATCGATTTTGGCCAATTTTGGCCTTAAATAGGGTATGGCTTTTGCACTCTAGTCTTGAATTGGGTATGTTTTTTTTAGAGGAAGCTACTTTTTCATCATTATCGATAAGACCATCAACAAAAAGCCCATCATAAATTATTTTTAGAGCAACTGTGCCAGCCGCAACGGTCTTAAATAGGGTATCGAACTTTTGAATGAATAGGGTAGTGAAAATCGCAGATTTTGGTAATAAATAGGGTAAGGGTTTTGGCCTGGGAGCGGGCCGCACACCCCCACCCAATTTTTCTGGGAGTACCTCCCCGGGGCCCCCAAATGCTCGCAAACTGACCAGTCGATACCCCTGTGATTATCGTGACGTCATCGTTTTCGAAAGGCGTTTTCGATCCACACGAAAACTAGCCTCCCGACGCAGACGTTCTTTAGGCTCGTCACGCAAGTAAGCTATCATTGCGTGACGAGCCCAACGATTTTTATTTATTTATTTATTAAGCTTCGGCCTTCTATTACATATAAAGAAAAACAAATAGAAGAGGAAGCAAAAAAAAAACAAAACAAAACAAAACAAAACAAAAAAAAAGACAGACAGCACAACAAAACAAAATGACCAGGGGAGCCGCTACAGCTTATCGTCCCTCCAGGAGGCTGTCGAAAACGAAAGGCCAGGGTTTTCAAATTCCTCCCGTTTTTAGCACGTTTTCGAAAACCTCTGTTTTCGTGACGGATTAGTGAGTACGGTAAGCCTAACCGTAGAAATAAAGCTGTGTTTTCAAATTTCTCCGGCGCAGTGTGGACGCTGCCTCAGATTACGCGGTCCAGAGAGAGTGGCGCCAGAAATGTACGCTGGATGTCGCCCCGCAGTGACCTTTTCGTGTTGTATTTAGCTTGAGAGCAGAATCTTGGCAAAGAGGATGAAATAATTAAGGAAAGCTGAGCCCAAAGGGTCACGTTTAATGTGTCTTCATGGCAAAAAGGACCAATGGAAACAAAAGGGTCTCTAATGATCGACTTCTGAAATGAAAATAAACAGGATGTCATTACATATTTTTGTTTCTGATTACACTGCCGTGGCTCTAATAAATACTTCCCATAAAATTGGCTTTGACACAAGCTTCTCGTTTCTCAAGTGAGCAAGTATTTGGAGTGCCTCTCGGAACAGGTAAGTGTTCTTTTCACCGTAGATTTTGCCGCGTGACTCGTATACTTTTTACACTCATATAGTCCCAAAAGGCGCTTAGTTTCCTTCCGTTTCCAGGCTTTAGCCTTGAACCTCGCGTACGTAAGTTCCTGGGATTTTTCTCTTTCAGCCACATTTCTTTGGGGCACTAGCTAGTTCCGATATATGGAACCTATTGATATGCTGGTGAATCAAGTGTTCGAGTTTGATTGAAATTATTCTATCGTCAAATTTCTATTTATTATTGCTTTAATAGACAGCCTTTAAGGTCCCAGTCCCAGATGGCGCGCTTTCTCCTGGTCGTATTCGTCTTGCTAAGTTCTACATCTGGTAGCCATCTTCATAAAGGTGACGACCTGACCGAAGGTTCTCCTTCTAAAAAGGTATTTTTACTTTGCTGGTAAAAGCTTCTGTTCTCTTCGACTGATCTTCAAAGTATTAGGTTATTGTAGTCTTCCTGAGTAAACAAATAGTTCTTAGTGGATTTATGAAAAAACTGAAACATTTACCAGGTCGTGGATTTCACTGTTCACATCAGCGAGGCTGGAGAAAAATACAACGAGAAGATCGAGGTGGATCCAAACAAGCGAACAGAATTGTTTCAAGTTCCCGCTCATCCTGGAGTGGATCGCAGTGACACCTTACATGACTTCAAACAAGTAAGCTGTCTGATCTGTTTTTCTCTCTCGAGACTGCTTATTCAACTCCAGATTTCTTGTGAGGGGAAAGTAGAAAGTAAAGCATTGTACTGAACAGCAAACAAGAAGTCGTTAGGAAGTTAGTCGGTGACTGCCAAAGTTGATCTTGGCTCGTTTACAAGTCACCGTGTTTATACTAGTCCAATTTTTATCACTTCACCAGTTGGAGAAATCTTTTTGTTCTTTCCCAAATAGAGGCAACTCGAGGCCTTTACTGTCATTTCGTTATTCTTCCTTTCCTTTCATCCAAACATTCTTTACAATCCTGTGACAGTTTTGTTACTTTACACAGTCTAACAATATCTTTCGGCTTTCTTACTTTCGTTAGTTTGTTGCTAATATGCCATACATGCATTCAGTTTTCCTTTCCCCTAAGCTGTCAAGGGATATTTACTGCCAAAGCACGTCCCTTTTACGTTGAAATATAATAACTTATTTTTGTCATCACAGAAACTTACCATCGTGCGATTCCCCGACAGCAAGAATTGCTATGTCTTCCCTCTTCAAAACGAACAATCCGCGCCTAAAAAACTGATCAGAGATCTCGTGGAGGCCAAGCAGGTGAGAACATGAAATTAAAAAAAAAAAAAAAACATTACATGTAAATGGGAACAAACACGTCCTTCATTCCTCTTAGAACTCAGATTCCAGACATGAACATAAACACACCGACACATCAAATTCCTCCGGTTTGAAGAGCGTCTTCGGAAAGCTCTTTTTCCGCCACGGATTAGTGTGGACGGTAGGCCTAACCGTAGTAGAAACAAAGCTGCGTTTTCACATTTTCTCGGCGTAGCGTGGACGCCGCCTTGTGCCTAAATTTACAAGTAACTCACTCACTGAGACAGGACGTTTATTAGGCCTCCAGTACGCGCGAAAAAAAAATTAACACTTATTATTATATGGCAAGGTAGTCTTGAGGTTTAGAAGAATTTTGTTGAATAAATATCAGACTGAAAAGTTTATTTCTTTTAAATCTTATAGTAATATGAATTTGCTGCGGTCTGTCTGTACTGCCACGACCTATGAGACCAATTTCGATTTATTAAAATTCCGCCTAAAACAATAGACCGCAGCACAAGGCTCCGGAGAATAAATACAGAGTTTGTGGGGTTTATTCCCCAGAGCCTCGTGCTGAGGTCTATTGTTTTAGGCTGAATTTTAATATATCGAAATTGGTCTATTAATTTTGATAATAGGTCGAATCTAATTTTTAGCTAATCCTTCAGTCCAAATTGGACCGCATGAAGTCCTATGAAATATACTTACTCAAGCCCTCACCAGGTAAGGCAATGAACGGATTCGACACGAGAGGACATGGTTGACACTTATTTTTTTCCGTTCACTCCATCAGACTGTTATTACAGAGACCAGGCGGGTTGATACCACATGGGTCACTGACAACGAAGTGACTGACCGTGCTGTCCTTGCTGATGAATTAACAGAGTTTTGTGCGCAGTATCGGATATACCACGTGAGAGAGGCGTTAGAGAGTCTGGAAGTGACAGGCATCCGAACAGAAGGTGAGGTGATAGAACTTACTACATCCTTATGCATTCAGAACTCCTCGGTAACACGAGGCTCCCATCTTTACGAGAAACCAGAAACTGCAAGGGACCGCATACGATAAACGCTGCCAACGTAGGATCTACAAGAGATCTGATCAGCCAAAAAAATGTATGAAGACAAACAATAGACTGCAAGACTGATACTACGTGAAANTGTTTGTAATAATTACTTTGATTTATTGCCACTCACTTTAGTCTGAATAGTTCAGCCGATGGGACATCCTGGGAACGCTTTACCTTCGTAGCAGCGTTTTCTGGTTTGTGAGAGAGCTTAAAGGCCTTTAATTTTGGAAAGAAAACACGTTTTTAGCGGAGCTCCACCAAGCCGCCAGGCCGCCAAGCGGAGCCCCATACTTCTATAAGGAAAGAAAAGGAAACCCATGAGTTGTTTTTCTCATCGTTATCATGGCTAGCGGTGTTGTTCGTGGGCGCGTACGCACGATGGCGGCGGCGACGGAGTCGCGCAAGATGGCGGCCATACTCCAATAATAGGTTGACAAGGACATGTAGCCTTGGTTTACCGTGCATGTACTTCTTTGGGTCTTCTTTGATATTGGACATCCATGCTATGATCAATTGACACCTGTTAAAACAAGGTATCCGCTGACCAGCATCACTTGACCATATCGCGGGCTCAAGTTTAGAAGACAAACAATAGACTGCAAGGCTGATACTACGTGAAAAACGTTTCGAGACACCAACATGACAAGAACCGATAAAGTAGGATCGCAACAGTGGACAGCTGTTTCGCCCTTCTCGGGGCTCGTCAGCACTGTGTAGCGAGGATATGTAACGCCAGCCCAACAGTCAACGCACATAAATTGCAAAATGACCCGTTTACTATATCAAGTTCCGTACTCTGAACTACGCCCCGAAACACGCGTTGCCACATCACGTGTTTCGGGGCGCAAGGAGACAAAGTGTCAAGATTGGTGTCTCGAAAAGTAAAAGAATAAATGTGGTTGGACAATGCCACCCTAAACATTTAAACATTCAACCGCATGGCCAGTACCATGCTTTAAAAACGTAGCGTATCGGATATGAAAAGACCTACGGTCCGAAAATACATAAATGAGAAACCAGAAACTGCAAGGGACCGCATACGATAAACGCTGCCAACGNATTTTGTGGACCCAATATCATCCTAATTTATTCCACTCTAGGAAATTATCTTTCGCCGGAACTTCAAAAGTGCACCGAATTCAGAAGATGCATGCTCTGTTGGAGTTAAGTAGTGTTGTAACTGCGTACAAACACAGGGAGGTTTCTTTGGGTTCGAACACTAGAGAGATTTTTATACCGCTCGCCGCACGTTCATGCAATCTAGTTGACTGTCATAAAAGCGAAAATAGAAGCACCCTCAGAAAGCCGGGGTTAGCGATTGCCGTAACGAAAATTGTAAGCTTGTGAGTAAGTAAGCAACTTCATTTAGAGAAGGTGGCTCCTGACAGCACGTACTTATAATCGTTTAATGAAAAGTGAGCGGAAAACAAGGTAGCTATGTATCTACAGAATTATGCGGTACATGTGGTAAAGGGTACGTACATTAACACCTAAGGTTCACTTGACCGAAAGCAAACAGAAGTAAAGTGATATTACCTACAAGCTTGTAAAATTATCGCGTACTGAGTATTGCTAGTGGGAAGTTAAAGGATGGACAGTAACTAAATTGTGGAGTGAATGACCGTGTCTGCCTTGACTTGTTATTCAGCTGGTTATCTTGAATTGTTATTTTCGTAATCCATCTGTAGCTTGTGAGGATATCGATGAAGCTGTGCGTCTAAAATTAATCTTGGCAAATTAAGAACAGCGCAAATTAAAACAGCAATACTAACTATAAACAGGGCTAAAGTTAATCTATAAAAGCTTGAGCGGACTTCTCTTCTGGTCTACTTTTGGCCGCCTCATTAAAATTGCTGTAGTTATATCGAAAGCGTCAGTCACTGCATAGAAAAGTGCCTAAGTTGGTTTTCCTCATGGTTACCTTCTGACTAGGTTCGATTTGCGCCGCTCTCTCCCGAACAGCGGCTGGTAATCGAGCCTACCTTCTAACACGATTGCTCGTAAACCGCGATTTTGTTCTTGCAAAGTGGGCAATCATGCTGAACGTCCATAATCTCGTCCAAGCAGCAGCAGGCGAAAACACCAAACAGACAGCAGCACAGGCAAGCAGTGATACCCGGTACATAGTGTGTGGTGGTGGCAACCGTAACACGACAATGTGGACAAACCGTCCTGACGGACGAAACACCAAAGGTCGCGTCAGCCGTATTTTCCATGACGCCCGGCTGCTGGTTTATGACTTGTGTCCTAGAAACTTGCTGCTGAGGCGGAGGCTGTGAGTAACCTTGCTGTGGTAAATAACCTGCTTCTGGTGGTCGGTAGCTTGCTTGTTCAGATGGATAACCAGGTAGTTGAGGTGGATAACCAACTTGTTGAGGTGGATAACCGCCTTGTTGAGGTCCTTGTTGAGGTGGATAACTTGCTTGTTGTGGTGCGTCACTTCCTTGTTGTGGTGGATAACTTGCTTGTGGAGGTTGATAACCACCTTGCTGCGGTGGGTAACTTGCTTGTGGAGGTTGATAACCTGCTTGTTCACCTTGATTTCCACTTGGTTGAAGTTGGAAGTTGTCTGGGTGCTGTTGATGATCAACTTGTTCTTGGAGGGTTGTGTATGGTTGTTGTTTGGCGGCCATGTTGGCTCTCTGATGAAAGACTCCTTTTGTGTTGTGCAAATTCCCTGTTGATCGAAGAGCACTTTCCAGACAGATGAACAGACTGAAAAATAACGCAAGTTTTAAAAGGTGTGAGCTTGAGAACAGGATTCGCTGTTTAGTGTTGAAACCGATCGAGAATTTATGCCACGCACACCAAAGAGGCTACCAATTTGAATATCTGCTAAATCTCGAGGGAGGAGCTAGGGTAGATTGACAAGTTACTGAAGCGGATCATGGCAGTGTCTTTGTTTGCCCAGATGCGATCCCAAAATAACGCGGTGAATGTTATCTATAACACTAAAAACAAAAACACAGTAGAGAGCTTAAGCAGAGACGTTAAGTTTTTGAGAGTGAGACGTGAACCGTAAGTCCGAATTTTCTTTTCGTTTTGGCGTGTATTATCGAGTTTTCGTCGCAAACTTCATGTTGTAAATACCAAAATGGGTCACTTCAATTCACTGGTGATGCGTGAAAACTCGCCAAAAACATACATTTCCGGATCACGTTCGTGGTTCAAAAACGTCTGTGCTTATACCTTTTGTACTAACAAGAAGATCTGTTAGATGTTATAACCGCGCTTTTAAAATTTAACTGTTTGCTTAGCACTACCGTCGGAACGCAGTGCACATTCCAAAGTAGTCANTCATGGCAGTGTCTTTGTTTGCCCAGATGCGATCCCAAAATAACGCGGTGAATGTTATCTATAACACTAACAACAAAAACACAGTAGAGAGCTTAAGCAGAGACGTTAAGTTTTTGAGAGTGGGACGTGAACCGTAAGTCCGAATTTTCTTTTCGTTTTGGCGTGTATTATCGAGTTTTCGTCGCAAACTTCCTGTTGTAAATACCAAAATGGGTCACTTCAATTCACTGGTGATGCGTGAAACCGCGCCAAAAACATACACTTCCGGATGACGTTCGTGGTTCAAAAACGTCTGTGCTTATACCTTTTGTGCTAACAAGAAGATCTGTTAGATGTTATAACCGCGCTTTTAAAATTTAACTGTTTGCTTAGCACTACCGTCGGAACGGAGTGCACATTC